ACACACACACATGTGTCTAATAATAATAAGCACAAGTATGAATTGGTTTGTCCATTTTGACTCTTAGTCACACACACACACACACATGTGTCTAATAATAATAAGCACAAGTATGAATTGGTTTGTCCATTTTGACTCTTAGTCACACACACGTGTCTAATAATAATAAGCACAAGTATGAATTGGTTTGTCCATTTTGACTCTTAGTCACACACACGTCTAATAATAAGTACAATAAGTAGTAGATTTTAGGAGACGTATTTAAGGTAAAACGAAATTCTAAAATCCATTGCAATAGATATGTACGATATCTTTAAAAACAAATTACAGACATTGTACTTAATGTCTGTAATTACGATCTAGTGTTTTGCACTCGACAAAGTTTGTTTTCTTAAAGTTTTATATTCTACTTGTATTGAGGGCGTGGAGTTGTATAACGTTACGCCGTATTTGACTGAATATTTGAAGGACTTCTCGAAGTATATAACAAAACATACATCAGAAGTGAAAATTAACAATTTAAACGTCGAAAACTGGACAACCAATAGGCTTAAAATTTATGATAAAAACATCACGTACATTGCAGACCTCACAGGCCTAAAAGGCAGTGACTAGTGGTAGATAAAAATGGTTTGAAATGCCTCCGATTTGTAATCTGAAAATAGACTGATTAAGAGGAATATGGAGAGAAAAAAAAATACTTCTGCAGCTTACGTAATTTTTCTTACAAATTTTAGGCCTAAATTAGAATTAGGCTAATGAATTTATTAGGATTACGGAAAGAGCTTTTACAATCACTGATTGAATTCTTAATTTATGAATCACCTGATGAATGATGTGGTTAGCTGTTACAACCAATAACATGAGAAGATGGCACTGATTAACTCCTATCGTCTTTCAGTGAAAAACAAAGAGGCCCGGCATGGCCAGGTGGTTAGGGTGCGCTCGACTCGCAATCTAAGAGTCGCAGTTTTGATTCCCATCCCATCAAACAAGCTCGCCCATTCAGCTGTGGGGGCGTTATAATTGTACGATCAATCCCACTATTCGTTGGTAAAAGAGTAGCCTAAGAGTTGGCGGTGGGTGGTCATGACTAGTTGCCTTCCATCTAGTCTTACACTGCTAAATTAGGAACAGCTAGCGCAGATATCCCTCGTGTAGGTTTGCACGAAATTGAAAACAAACCAACCAATCAGGGAAAAGTTTATTCTTCTACCCCTTTTCTGAAAAAACGTGAGTTATTTGTTATTGGCTAATCAAAGAAATAAAAAAAAAATCACTGCGACTATGACTCGTGGCATTGGTCTTTCAACTCCGACTTATTACACTTTAATTAAGTTTTTGATTATCTTACTTGTAAGACAAATTATCAAACGAATAAAAAAGAGAACATAATTATCATACCAACGAATCAAAACCTTAATATTTCATCATATATTTTATTTTAAGGTGACGAATATAAAAATATAATCATTTATCATACCAACGCTAAGTTTAAATATTTTAGTATGATAATAATAACTAAAATCGAGGTGAAATCCTTTTTTTTTTTTTATTTATTCCAAATTACAGTGAGTTTTAATACTGGTCTAATTACAGCGACAAATAGGCAAAACGGAGCGGTTTGTTAATTCCGAGACTCTCACAAAAGCTAGATAATATACAAATAAAACTAACTCATTTATAATAGTAAATATGGAAAGTACTGGTACGAAAGACTTTAACAAAAAGTGGACAACGTTTACAACTTAGTTTTTGATTACAAGAGTTAAAAATCACAGTAATTGCTAAAGTAGGATCTACTTTTCTACAAATAGATGTAATATTACAAAGTCCTTCCATTTCCATGCTAAAATACTTTAATAAAACTGGTCACAGCTTAAGGTGACCTCTTGACTAGATCAAATGATCGTGTCGACGCTATCTTATTTCGATTTTGGCCTCTTTTTTTTTTGGGGGGGGGGGTAGGTGGTGGTAAAGGTATTTTCTTGGGTTTCGATTATTTATTTAAACCTCATAAGGCTTAAATGTTTTGAGACTTGGTTTTAAGACCAGAAAAGGTACCAGAAAGAATTTGTATCTTGAATTTCGAAAAAAAGCCACTCAAAGGCTATCTGCGCTAGTCGTCCCGAATTTAGAAGTGTGACAGAGTTTGTTTTTGCTAGTTAATATCACCAACTCTTAGTTATTGTAATTTCTCTAATCGAATAGTGGAACTGACAGTCACACGGTAAATCCCCCATGGTTGAAAGGAAGAGCATATTTGATGATGGGATTCAAACTCACAATCCGCAGACTGCGAATCGAGCAACCAAACCACACCATAAAGAAAACATGCGAAATATATTGTCAAGATAAAGATGTCCCGGCATGGCCAGGTGGCTTGACTCGCAATCTGAGGGTCGCGGGTTCGAATCCCCGCCCCACCAAACACGCTCGCTGTTTCAGCCGTGTTCAAACCCACTATTCGTTGGTAAAAGAGTAGCCCAAGCTAAGAACTTTCTTAATTACTTTTATAGCTAAAATCACTTCGATGGTTAGACATTTTGAACTGCTTAAAAGAATTTTTAAATTTATTCTAGCTTTTGTATGTTTTTCTTTTTACTTGTTAATTAAGTCAATGCAAGATTGAACACACATCAAATTCTTACCATTTAATGTCGAAGAGCTTTTGAGGTACCTGACGAAGAAGTTGTTCAACCGATAATGGTGATCTTGTAGGCTTCTACTCCGTCTGGCCGACAGTGCAAGCAGAAAAGTTGGTGGAAGTACTGAAATGTAGATTTGGGACAAAACGTGGTAGTGAAAAGGCTGCGAGGGATTTCTAACGAGTGATAGAAATTGGGGAAGCTCCTTATATACGTCAGTGTGGGAGGAGTTTTTGAATAACAATCTGCTATATTTATGAGCATGCGCATTACTACGCAACCGATTTTATAATTCGCGCATGTGTATATAAAATTTACAAGTTTAAAAGGAGAATATATTTTTTACTAAAAGGTGGGTGGTGCTATAAACCGAAAAGAGCAGTGGAAAATATTTGTACTAATAGTGATGCAAAGTTGCATGATGTTTTTCAACTAAAAAATATTACTGTACTAAAACGTTTTTAGGCCTATAACGATTTTGTTTAGGTTGTTAAAATAATCTTAATTTTTTTTAATTTATTTTGAAACAGCATATATATAATATTTTTTTACAATTATGAATAGCAAACATAACATAGCATAATGATTAAAGACACCGAGGGACCTATTGTTTGTTTGTTTGTTTGT